ATTTCAATGCAGCTGAATGTTTACATGATTCCTCTCAGTCACAGTAACATAGATATTATTTCTTGTTACAGAGTTTTCATTCTCTGGTCTCTACTCAGTTGTATGAGAACTAAATTTTTTTCGTAGATACTAAACTTTATACTATATATATATTATATTTATATTTAAGATTAACCAAAGACACATACGCATATATTTTAGACTAATTATTTAATTTTAAATTAACTCATTAAAGCCCATGGCTAGATCAGTAAGGTTAACAAAAAACCAACAATTGCAAATAAGACCGGAATATGAAAAACCATATTGGACATAAAAAATATCGTGTAAAAATAAGTGTTGCAATAAATTGTTATAAACAAATCATTAAATATTGGCTGGTAGAACTGATTACGCCAATCGATTCTATGGAAAAAGTTACACAAAAAATATGTATCTTACTTTTTCTCGTTGATCCTACTCGAATTCTAATTGTCTTTTTATATTTCCCAAGAGAATAATATATCATAAGGTCTCATTTAAATGGTTAGTAATCATTATTATAAGATGTAACGAGCCTACTTACCTCAGCGGTGCAACCGTTTGTTGCGGTATGCGTGCAGGGATTAGGTCCGCAATTAGTGCAGGTGACAATCTCGTTCGGTCCAGTAGCACCACCAGTGGTAGCTCCCTCCCGCTTCTTTTTACCCTGCCGACAGGGTCTCCGTAGAAGAAACTTATATTCTTAATAACAACGCGTTATTTGAACAACGATCCACCCTTCCAACTCGCGTTTTTTTTTCTACGTCTTCCTTCGAACACGGGATTTCGTACTTCTCTCGAATTTAAACAAATTTGGATGACCCTCGATTTTTCACATTCCCCGCGTGTAACCGATCGATTCCTTGAACTTTTGCTTACCAAGCGATTGATAAATATGAGAATCGTTACGATATCATTGATACGCAACAATTCATTTATACCAACCCGATAACGTAATAATCGATTTTTCGGAAGAATACATGATGATGACTGAATGATCGTGGCGCGATTTCTTACAAGCGTAATAACGTAAGCGTACTAAAGGCTTGGAGACTAAAGAGGCAATCAAGCTTGCGCGTAAAAGCGTGTGACACTTTCGAAAAAGATTGACGCAGATACGCATCGGAGACAGATAAAGTACGCATGTTGTTGCGCTTAAACGGACAGGGAACATCCGCTATTTTTGTGCTCATTCAGCTCATTCAAGAAGTGTTTTGTGGACAATTGTTACCGTTTCGAAACAATGTTGAAAGCTCTCGATCATATATTGGGAGAGAGAGAGAAAGAGAGAGAGAGGGAGAGAGAGAGAGAGAGAGACAACGAGAAGCTGATGAAAATAACGAGCTGTCTTCTCTGTTTAAATACAAAAATACAACATGTACATCCGTCTTTGATACGTGAAACGGATACCATTATATTTTGTCCCTCTCCCCAATGTGACAAGGATCACATATAACATACTTTGTCGTCACGATCGCATGAATTGAGGAGGAACATATAAATGAAATATCGAGAATCAAACGGATCGTCTTCGCCCGTTATGAAATGATCGAAGAGTGAATCGTTGCTTTTCATTAGTATTTGACATCGCTAGTATGTACGTATATCAATCAATACTTTCGTGCCTCTGCGTATAACTTACGAATTACATGCCGTATAAACATCTATTCATGATGTTCTCATGTTATGTTCGTTGGACGATTCGATCGACTTGTTCATAGTGGAAAATAGTTTTCCGTATCGCGACACACACTCCTGAATTATTTGCTCAAAAAGTTGCCACCACTTTTATCGTTTGGAGATTTAATTGCGAAGTGATTCGGATTACCGACGATATTTTCCAACTGGATGAACACAATGTTATTCAAAGTACCAGAGTCTTTGATGTCGATTAGTTTCTTTTAAGATCGGTCCGTTGCGAACATTATTCCCGTTAATAAAATAACTGTATACTTTTAAACAGTTCGTATTTGATACGATAGTTCCTCGAATACAGATCCCCTCACAAAATATATCGTGAATCGTCGCCATCTAGATAATCTCTTCGTAATTTTCGTGAAATTGCAATTCTCAGATTTTTATGGGAGGAGAAAGATGATAAGAGAAGCACAGAAGCTACGGTGTCTATTTAAATGTATGCGACCAATGTGATAATATAAGATCAATTTTAAAACGAGACACCTTGAAAGTTCCGAAATATGATCCGAAATAACATTGTAACAATTACTTCTCGACTCGTCTTTCTCCGTGATCTCGCTTGAAAACGTTTGCGGCGAAACTAGGCGAATTTTCAAACGGATCCCCGCACCGCCTTGTTGCAAAAGATATCTCATTTCAAGCTTATGCTATGTGTCAAGCTTCAATGGAGGTAAATTCAATAGCAAAAGCAATTTGTGGATACCATATATAGTCAAGGCATAATTATGTTTATATATGTATATATATATATATATATATATATATATATATATATATATATATATATATATATATATATATATATATATATATATATANAGACGTAGAAATATATATGATTATACAGGGTGTCTCAAACTAATCTCGGTTCCCGTAGTGTGCAAGTAGAACGAAAGAAACTAAGCAGAAAAGTCACGTACCATTTTGCAAAATTCGCACCCTCACAACACCGGATATTGCACTAAGGTTACAAGGAAATTACAACCTTACATAGTTTAATGAGAAGGTTACTAGCATATACTACTAGCCTTACAATATAACCTTGCATTACAATATTGTTGGAAGATTATTGGAATCTTATGTCAAAATTTTAACAACTTTACAATATATAACGTTATATTAAAATATTGTTGAAAGATTAATAGAAGCTTCTTTTAAAATTGCAAAAATTATCGCATTTTTCGCATATGTTGATATATTATGGAAGACCCACGCAGTGTTCGATGATACGACATACAATATCCAATATTTACGAAAAACAGCTTTCTTATAGAGAATGCAATCCCCTCACCTCATTATAATAAGATTATAGGGAGGTTACAATCATACATTTTAATGGGAATGTTACTGGTATACATTAACCTTATAATATAACTTTATATTATAATATTATCGGAATATTAATGAAATCTTATTTTAATATTTTAGCAACTTTATATCTTGACTTTTATATAATTTGGATTTTATTTGGACTAGCATATGACTTGCAGAAAGAAAAGTTTCTTTAAATTTAATATTCCCGTATGTTTAACTTTAATTCCCTTGGATTCGTTTCCAATTAATTTATTGTTTGTAATAACCATAATAACACTTGGTTAAAAAGCCAAAAACAGTCATAGCGTCTTTGGTACAATAATACTCGTATTTCATCATATCAATTCGTTGCATATCAACTTTTGTTGTGTTGTTTTTAATGTTTGCGAGTAAATATTCAAATTACATTACAATATTTTGTGAATACTGTAAGAATACATTATATAAACATAATAAGTTATAAGGATATCGTTAGAGCCATTGAAGTCAATGTTAGCTGTCTGATCATTGAAGACAAACAACGAATGCGGTTAGTAAATGGATAGATGACTAGCCGCTGATTGGAATTAAAACTACGAAAAGATATGAAATAACGATTTTTTTCCTCTTTGCATGTTAGAAGATCTCAGCGAGTCCTTTTTTAAGTCTCAACATATAGCGAGTCCTTTTTTAAGTTTCAACATTTAGGAAACGTTTTTTTATAAAATTTTGTATAAAATATTTTTTATTGGGATTAAGGAGTGACATGTTATATGAATATTATCATAATGTTATAATCCCTGGGATGTCAACGGAACAAGTTTAAACAAACATTCACATATTATTAGGAAGCTAATGACAGGTTTATTAATGTGAACTATTACCAGCTTACTATTTAAGGTTATCGTAATCTTACTGGAACGTTGATGTGCTGTGAGGGCAATAATTAGTGAGGAATTAATTATTTTGTTCGAAATAATGAGCGCATAGGAAGAGATAGGCCAGATTTTATATAAAGAAAAATGGTTTATTTCGGAAGATCTCTTAGTAACGATGAGTATCAATTGATAGCGAGAGGCGTGTTTCTTTTCGGCGCACAGCGCTGTATCACTTGCCACTCGCTGCTTACTACGTTACTCCGCTTTTAAAAATCAGTTGATGATCATCGTTGCTAGGAGATCTTCAGAAGTAAACCATTTTTCTTTTTATAATGTCCGGTCTACTCTTTTCCGTCTTGCATACTACGAGAATTGAGATTAATATATATATATACACGAGGGTTGTTTGGTAAATTTTGTAAAAAAGCAAGTAAAACACATTTTTGAGAAAAAAATTGTCTTTATTTCTCAACATAGTCTACATCAAGGGCGATATATATGGTCCAATGAATTTTTAATTTTTTTAATACCGCTGGAAAAGTAGGCTGTTTCAAAGCTTGCAAAATACTCATTGACGACGACGATAATTTCTTCATTCGACGGGAATTTCTTCCCATCGAGTCTGATTTTCAAATATGAGAACAGGAAGAAGAGAGCAGGAAGAAATCCAATTTATATAATTTTTCCATTGTGACAGTCGACTTGTGGGACGGCGCGTTATCTTGGTGGAAGGGTCCTTTTTTGCGCGCCAATCTTGACCGTTTATTTTCAGTTCTTCTTTGAAACGGTTCAATAACGTTGCATAGTACTCTCCTGTTATTGTCTTATCTTTTTGCAAATAGCCAATTAAGATGATTCCTTGGGAATCCCAAAAAACAGCGGTCATCATCTTTCTAGCCGACAAAACAGTCTTCGTCTTTTTCGGTGCATTTCTACCAGGCATTGTTCATTGTTTTTACTGCTCCTTCGATTCAGGAGTGTAGAGGTGGATCCAAATTTCGTCCACAGTCACTAATTGATGCTAAAAATCCTGCGGATTGTCAACTGGAAAGATGATGGCCACTGTTTTTTGAGATTCCCCAAGGAATTATCCTAATTGACTATTTGCAGAAGGGTAAGATAATAACAGGAGAGTACTATGCAACATTGTTGGACCGTTTAAAAGAAGAATTGAAAAATAAACGACCAAGATTGGCGCGCAAAAAAGGACCCTTCCACTAAGATAACCCGCCGTTCCACAAGTCGACTGTTGCAATGGAAAAATTACACGAATTGGGTTTCTAATTGAGCCCTCAACCGTTTTATTCTCCGAATTTGGCCCCGTGCAACTTCTTCCTGTTTCCAAATTTCAAAATTTGGCTCGGTAGAAAAAAATTCTCATCGAATGAGGCAGTCATCGTCGTCGTCAATGAGTATTTTGCAGACTTTGAAACCGCCTACTTTTCCGACAGTATTAAAAAATTTGAAATTCATTGGACCAAATGTATCGCCCTCGGATGAGACTATGTTGAGAAATAAAGGCGATTTTGCTTAAAAAATGTGTTTTATTTGCTTTTTTACCAGACTTATCAAATAACCTTCATGTGTGTGTACGTATAGATAGATAGATATATATATTGGGAGTAAAAATTAGTTCGGTCCGTTTTCAAAAGATGGCTCTGGCTGTTATGAATGTTTCACAGTGACAGCTGATTTCGGTGGTTTCAGAGAGATTAAACATCTGTCAATAATATTCAGTTTATATCGCTTTGAGTTTCATACAAAACTTCTGTTTTTTACTGTGTTGAATATGTCAAATTTTGTGTTAACTAAGCAGCATTTGCGGGAGGTTTTAGTTTTCTACTTTAATTGGAACAAAAGCGCAGCTGAAGCGCATCGAATGCTTGTAGAAGTTTATGGTGACAATGCTCCAACTGATAAATCATGTAGGGAATGGTTTCAACGTTTCAAAAATGGTAATTTCAGCGTTGAAGACAAGCCTTGCTCTGGACAGCCAAAAAAATTCGAAGACAAAGAATATGCTGCTACAACCTGGCGATTCCATTACGGGCCATCGGTATAGGCTACAATTGATTCGTTTGAGCCGTGCATTACGAGAAAAACGGCCGGAATTCGAGCAAAAACATGACAAAGTTATTCTTCTGCATGATAATGCTCGGCCTCATGTCGCAAAAGTCGTAAAAAATTATTTGGAAACGCTCAAGTGGGATATTTTACCGCACCCGCCGTATTCGCCGGACATTGCTTCTTCTGCTTACTGGTTGTTTCAACGGATGCAGCACGATTTGGCAGGTCACCGGTTCACTTCTTTCGCAGAAATCGAAAATTAACTCCTAACTTGGATCGCCTCAAAAGACGAGACATTTTTTCGAGATGGAATTCGAAAATTGCCTGAGAGGTGGGAAAAAGTAATAGCCAGCGATGGACAATACTTTGATTAATCTGTTCATTCATTTTGTTCTGAAATAAATGCATTTTTGACCACAAAAAACGGACCGAACTAATTTGTACTCCCAATATATATATATATATATATATACGTACACACACACGATAATTTCCAGTTAGTTACACATTTAATCGTTCTTTGCGTGGAATTGTTGCGCGATTTACAATTCTGAGCAGAATGACTTTCCTATAACTACACACTCGTGACTTTTGCGCCGATGAAAAAAAAATTATTTCGCCTGACGAGTTACGACTTTACAAAACCTGCTCTTCTACTTTATTCGTTTTAATCGGAATTAGTGATCATCGGTCATGATGAGAGCTATGCGGAAAGATATCGGACGTAGAAAGCATTTGACATGTGATAATTATCTGATGACTATTTCTACTTTCTTTTTGGACAATCTGCCAACGTTTTAAAGCCTTTTCGCTACTTTTAAAATGTTCTCTGCAGGTGATTGTAATGTCCTCACGCCCTCAATATGCCAGCGGCCATGATGTTTTCATTATGTTCGTTATTACATTATTATACTGATTGGTAATGGCAAAAAATAAGTAGAAAATATGTATATACATAATCAACAGGACACTTCGGTGATTATAAGCAGAAAACTGAAATTTGACACAAAAGTTACCTCACAAAAGCGAAAAATCCTGGTCGCTGGTGATGGAGTGAAAACTATTTAAAACAATCGCGAAAAATATACCGATATTTTTTAATTAATGCTTTCACACCGAAGACAAATAAGTATACCAATTATTGGACTGCAGATTTCTTGTAAAAAATAAAAAAGATTAATTTTCAAGATACTACTAAATAATTAATAAAATATCTAGCTAATAATTAGGCATAAGCAAAGAGAAATTTATTCTAAATCAATTACAACGTAAAATATAGCATTAGCGAAAAAAATGATTGAAAGGAGAATATACTTTGTTATATGTATATAAAACTGTAAAATGTGAAACGTAGAAAGCAGATTGGACTATTGAAGCGATTAAAAGATAGTTAAGCGTATCTTTTTTCATTATCGCACAAATCTCGTTGCTTTTATTACAAGCGATGATATGTCCTCGTCAAGGTATCGACAAGAAATTTAAACACGCATCGAATAAAATTGTAACATGCATACATGCATGTATACGTTGCATTTCCATGCATTTCATGCGTAATACGTACATTTTAATGATTCTCCATCATCGATATAAAACGCAGGCCATATGCGAGGAAGGCGAGAGTGGACGGGGAGGGAAATTTACTTAATGAATTAACGAGATCTTATTTCTTTTATAAATGCACAGTAATTGCTCTTATGAGATTTTACTAACAAGGAGAAGATATAATGTGTGCCTCATTGATTTTGTCCTCTTTATATGTTATGAATCTACACAAAAATTAAATTAGTCCCGTGTCTGAGCGTTTTATCCAATGTCCCTGCTAAATAGTAGTTTTTAATGTTTGAACTGCAAGCGTTCAGTAATATACGTCAAGACCTCGGTAGAAAAGAAATCAGCATTTTTACTTACGAGAAGAAGACACAGTAAGTTCCTAACTAACTTTGATCTTACACGTGGAAAATCTACATAAAAAATAAATAGACCTGTATGCGAACATTTTGTCCAATTACGCCTTATTGTAATTTTAATAGTAGTTTTTAACTGTTTGAATTTTCAAACGTTTAGTAATGTACGTCTCGATAGAAAAGAAGTCAGCAAGCAGCATCGCATAGCGCAGTCGATAGGCGCAGTTTTCTAGCTTCCTTTTTATCGGGCTCTCGATGTACATTACGCAACGCTTGAAATCTCAAATATTAAAAACTACTATTTAGAAGATGCTTTAGACAAATCGTTCAGACACGGATCTATTTACTTTTTATATAAATTCATTATGTGGAAGGAGGTAAAAATTGGTGAGGCACTTATTGTGTCCACTCTTTGTAAGTGGAAAAATTAAGGTTCATTGTTGAAATAACTGAAATCGACCTGAATTGTTCCTTAGACAAGATTAAAGATTATGTTTGGCGAAGAATATCTTTATTTTTCCCATCCGAAACCTGCCTGAGAAAATAATTGATTCGTAAACCTTGACTGCTTTCATCTATACATTACAAGTCGGAGGAATGAGTCTCTTCTTTTCGTCGTTCTGTGCATTTACATATAACTTGCACTCTGTATTACAGAGAACATGCATTAACCATGCATCAATAGGGAAAAAAACAAATAAAGACTAGAATAGAAATGTGTGAGAAGAGAGCACGAGGGAAAGGAAAATAATCTAGTTGCGGATACACGCACCTAATGAAGCACCAAACGAAATTTTCACGTAGAAATGTCTTAACTTTTTCCATATATTATTAGAGAAGCTGTAGACTTTTTAATGTTCTTTTTTATGTACACGTAATGTATAACTTTACTAAACAGTTGTTATTGCTTGCGATAGAGAAGGAGGGAAGGAGGGACAGAAAAAGAAAGAGAGAAAGAGAGAGAGAGAGAGAGAGAGAGAGAGAGAGAGAGAGAAAACGACCCATTTCTCTGTGATATTACGTTCGAACGCGAATATCAGTGTCGTTTATGTTTTTGATATATGGGATATACAACTTAATTGTGTTTTCCACGAAGCAACTGTCGCATAGTACCAATCAAAACAAATAAGGGTTATTACAAGAACGAAGATGTTCTTCTTGAGCGTGAGCATCACTCCAAAGCGAAAGTGAATATTGTGCAATTTCATAAGTATCTCTTTCTCGCGCCAGATCTTTGCATTTCTATCCTCGTGCTCCTCATGACACATCGCCAGTATAAATACGGACATAGAAAAGGAAATACAAAAAATGTACGACTTCCGGAATGATAATGAGAGCAAGTGTCTGTGTCTATACGTGTATATAATATGTCCGTATGTTCTCAGGACACGGTTAGGACCTTGCACGTGAACTGTCTTCTTTCATTTCTTTTCTTTCTTTTAATCATTTCCCTTCGACACTATTGACGGCACAACTATACGTGTGTCGCAATAGATTTTTTTTCAAATCGTGACATTCTTTTGTCGTATTTTTCTGCTAGGCTTTAATAATCAACTGAAATAATATTCCAATAATAAACTGAGAGAGGGCATTTTGTAATTTAGAACCGGAAACGCGTGAAGTCGTAACCGCGCCTTAATGCAATGGGGGCTCTTACCAAGGGGCTGGCCAATATAATTCCTATCCTGCTGAGCACCGCTGGGAGCCGCTGCAACATCACAGACACCAAACAAAGAGACTTACTCACCAACATATCCACCAACCAAATTCTTACTAATCGTGTTTATAACAGAAACAGACAGAGAGAGAGAGGGAGAGAGAGAAAGAGAGAGAGAGACAAAGGTGAAAAATGAAAATGAAAATGAGAAAAGGAAAGAGACAAAGGGAGAGTGTGTCCAATTCTTATCATAGTTTTTCACAGTTTATGGATATTTCAATTCTTGCTTTACACTCGTTATACTTTACTTTTTGATAAAGTGTATAAGGGTATCAAAGAATTAAAAAAAATATATATTATACAAATTCAAAGATTAATATTTCTATAATAAAAGCGATAGGCAAATAAAAGCCTGATGTTGGCCGCGAATTTTCTTTGGAATAAATCTTAGCGACAGGATACAATTTTCCGGCTGCGTAACGTACATGCTGAATAATTAATTCTTCCCAACTTGGAACGTACAAGTGGTACAGTAACCGTCATTTTCATGTCGAACACAACCTTCTTAATCTGCAATTAATATTCGCAATAATTGATTCCCTATTAAATAATCCCTCCGCAATTTGTAGAAATTTATATTGTAATTATATTTTTATATATTATATGTTAAGTGTTGCAAAGAATACTTTTTGCCATAGTCAGGAAGATTAATATTTCTTATATATTTCCTTCCTGACTTTTTATATATAATAAAAAACACAGAGAGAGAGAGAGAGAGAGAGAGAGAGAGAGAGAGAGAGAGAGAGAGACATACGAATATCTTAAAAATTTACAAAAGCTTGAAGGCAACAGTCTATTAAAAGGACTTTTGAATGAGGAAAAAGAAAAAAATTATACAAAAATTAGGAAACTAGGGTAATAATTAAAAAAATAAGAGAGGAAGTGAAAAAAAAGAGGGGAGAAGGTGGGAAGAAATCGTGAATAAACATATGTGAGAATGAAAAATCGGCAATAAAAGTGAAATCGAGAGAAAAAGTGAGAATGAAAGATATCAGGGAGGAAGAAAAAAGGAATTAAATGGCGGAGACATGCATATCGCAGTCTCTTTCGAAAGTAATGAGTACTTTCGAAGGAATAGCGCGCTATTTATGCCAGTGGTGCTCACACTTGCTCCGTGATAGGCTATCTGTCTGTTTGAAATATGAACGAGTCGTTTCTCTTCCTTTCAAAACGTGTCTCTTAGATGCTTTCGTGCATTAAACTCGAAGCATTAATTGGTAGTACATTTAATGAACAAAATTCTTGTTAAATACGTGTGTTATAGTTTTAAGGATCGACTGATCACCGCTGATAAGGATGTGATACGATTCGTGCCTGATTTTTCGCGGCATTTTTACAGTGTATCGATATATATACTACCGAGATCTAATAGAAAATAATACTCACACTCTCTGGAAAAGAAAAGATACGAATCGAAAGGAAACTATATAGATATAGAAGTCTCGAGAGATGCAGAGAGATTAAAAGAAATCATACTGTGTTTGTGCAAGGTCACGCCAACAAGTTCACATGTGCAAGATGTAAACGCGATAAAAGAATGAATAGCCTGTCAGGAAGTATCAGACACTGCGTGGAAAGTCCGTTACATAAAAATTCGACGGAAAACGTATCGCGGCATAACCGATTACTCATTCGCGCAGTTGCTACGATCATACAACAACACAATCGATTTCAGGAAGTTCGGAAATACACAGCTTTTCATCGCGTTCACATCACCAGGATCTTTGATCGCAAGTATGAGAGACCAGTCATATGATGAATGAGACTCCGATTTTGGATACGTATGTTTACCTGGCGTTTATCCGTTCCGTTCGAGATATAAAATCACTTTCTGGTCGCAATCTTCTTGCGAGTTATTCCTATCTGGTGAAACCAGAAAGATGATCGCGACTGTGGTCTTAGAAATCAAATTCGATACAAGTCCTCGCGGAATCTACCATTTCAATTTGCTGAAGGAAAGATCTGTCTTCTTCTGACAATACTACATACCGGCGACATTGATCCAATTGTGATCCTCACCTAATAGCGATGCAATGTCTATCGTCACCCGGCGAAGTCGTAACTCTGAGATACATCAGCTGGAGTGTCGAGCGTCGCATTATATTTATATTCATACGCGCAACGCGGTAACTCCGGGTTTGTTTATAACATTTAAGAATGACGATTAATATTCTCGCTTGTCAATATCAGCGAACTGGGCGACTAATTCATTCTTCCGCAAATACTGCCTACTACCCTTATCTAGCATGAAATAGTAGTTCTAGTTATTAGAATCGGTTGAAAACGTTTAGAGATGTTCTGTATGTACATGCTATATAATTAATTGTAAGTATGTAAAAATAAGAGAATTCGGTACCGTTCTTTTACATTTAAGAATTATTTTGTTCCTGTCGTGAGACAGCGACTGGACTCGTTTTAAACCGACTCCAAACATTACAGTTAATTCTGAGAAAAAAAAAACGATCTGCATCGGTTTACGTTGTATCACATATTTTACTTTGTATTGATTAATATTAATTGCACGAAAAAGGCAGTACGGCCCCATTTAAATTCACGTCGCTGAATATTTGTGACGGGGTGCAGTATATGTGTCACGTCGACAAAATTATCGAGGACACATCAATCAGCAATGTACCTGGGTGACGGGGTTTTCGCCCGGACGATAGACAACGTTGTGCATCGGCCGTTTGCGACCGACATAATTCACGCAGACGAATTCGAGAAGACTCGCGTAGATGAAGCACATGCACACGCCGTCCCACACGTTCATGGCAGTCAAATTTGAAACGACGGGTAGCGTTCCCCGGAAGCCAGTCGACGTGGTGAAAAAGTTGAGCATCGTTGTTACACCTGAAACACGAAACCACGTTTTCTCTCCGTTGTGTTTTTTATTTTTTCTCTTTCTCATGCCAAAAGCTATATATATATATATATATATATATATATATATATATATATATATATATNGTGTATGTTTGTATATGGAATAGACGGACCAATAGTTAGCCGAAGAACAGGCACGACGAATGAAAAGGAAAGCGAATGAAGGTAAAAATAATATAATTTGAACTGAATTTCTAGTTTCTATTAATATGATGCACTAGTATGTTGTATTCGATACACGCGATAAATGATTTCTTTCTCGTCGCTGTGCGGCACATGAGGTCAGTCACTTCGATCAACTCATCTCGAATAGTTAAAGAATACATGGGTCGAAATAAATTCGTCGATTTTTGAGATATGAGGTGGTATTTGTTGCGCGGACTCACCGATCATTACTCGCGCCGGCACGGCATTCCATTCGAGCCAGAATGTGATGAAGGAGCTGGTTACCAGAATAATACCGGGGATGAAAACCGTAGTGAAATAGAAGGCGCGATCCCGCGTGAAGATTAGATCCACCTTCAAGCAGCTGTAATTACCTAAGTCATGCACACGTAACTTCATTTTCCATGTTGAGGTAGAGATGGGGATTCGTATTTCCAGAGAGCAGAAAGAAGATAGTATTCGAATCGATCAATGGACATATGTTCCGAATATTCTCTCAAATATTGAATGTTATCTCTTATTGGCTATTTATGTATCTATACATTAATTTTTGTTTTGCAAAAATGGTACATTTAAGAAAAATATCGTTTATGTATGCGTATGGACATAACAATGTATTTATGGGTGCTTTCGTTAATGCTTGCTTCAATTAGTTTCCCTATGAATGAAATATACAATAGGCACAATCATCTATTGCTGTCATATTTCATGACAACTCAATGCTGTTTTGTATTACCATAAGTTGAGTTGAGTTAGTAGCAATAATATCGAAGATACTATATAAGGTAATCATTTCGCAAAAATTTTACGGATTATGAGACATAATATATTTTATTAATATTAAGATTATATTTACTTAAAGTTATAATTATATAAAATTAACAGGCAGTTTTAAAACGTGTTACCCTAAATTTAGAAAATTTAATTATTTTAACCTATTTATTGAGTGAATCTGATTTCAATAGGTTTTATAGAAAATATTTATTACAAATATAAATAAATTTATGAAAGAAATAGATAATGTTGGTAAATATATGTTTCTTTAATAAACATAATTATATAAGTTTATTATTGCTATCTTTTCAAATAGTAAGTAATATCTCTAAATGTAGTTAATTGCAGAGTTCAGTGGATCGATGCCATGACAAAAATTGGAACTTTAAATAATTATAATCTTAATATAAATTAATAAAAATATATTGTGTCTTATACTTTGTAAAATTTTGCGAAATAACTACCTTATATAATATTTTTGATGTTGCCACTAACTCAACTCATCTCATGGCAATATAAGACAGCATTGAATTGCAATGAAGTATGATGTTAATAGATGATTGTACTTATCGTATATTTCATCCCTAGAGAAACTAGCTCAAACAGACATTAGCGGAAGCATTCTATATTTCTATTGGAATTAGATACATTTAATATTTTAATTGAAGATGTGACATAATGCTGGATTTTTGTTACGTAATTATGTGACGGGGAGGTGTTCGAAGGCGTGTACTTTAGAATACGTAGAAAGGAAAGAGATAGAAAACAGCATATAATCTTCAATTTATGGTCACCAAACTCCACATTCGCGAAAACATTTCAAGCTCAGCAAAGTACTAATGTGAAAGGCTTTAAAGAAGGATTTGTCAAAAGACTGGCAGGCATGAAGGAACATCTACCATTAGGGGGAACATCAAACTAACGATTCTCTCACGAACAATCCCAATACATCTCGTTTATATTTATCGATTTATTTTCCACATCGGAAAAATACAAGCATTTGTTCGATAATACACGAGCGGTTCATGCCGATGACATTCGACAGTCATCGTTATGTACATTGTAAACTAATTTGAAGCTTCCGTCTTGTTTGGATTTGCCTTAGAAATTAAGTTCAAGCGGGTCCTCGCTTCATGTTAGAAGTATCTAATTAAGAGAGCAAGTAGATAAAAATTTCAGTGTAGAAACATTGTGCAAATAAAAATATGAACGTATGAAGACAAAGCGAAGCTTGTACTGGACAACGCACGTAATGATAATATTAAACACCGATAAAAAAATCATTTGGAGGCTACTCTAATCTCACGACCCATTACTAATCGCGCCCAAACAGAATCCATACTCTATAGCGCTATATGATATAAGCTTGTCAATAATTAAGCACCGATATAAATCATAACGACAACAGAGGCAAAATTAAATATAATAATAGTATGTACTCTATAAAGAGAATCTTCCCTTCCTTTTCCTGCGTTTGTTTCTTTCTCAAAGATCTGTAATGCAACTAAACACGCATAGAAGAGTAAACTCTCGACGCTTGCGCGTTCACAATATCTAACTACTAGTTTAGTGACTTTTATATGTGGGCAGTACATCTACTTATCATAGACTTATCGTACCAACTGTACAGCAATTTTGTACCGCAAATCAATATTATATGCGAAGCAACATCGAGTAATCTACTTGGGGCGACTTGGCATCTTGAGTTTGGTAAGCTTGGTCCTGTCTCTCTCTCCCTCACTGCTCTTCTTCGAATAGCTTTATCAGACATATTAGACTCGCGTCGAAGAGATAGAAGTAATTTACCTTGCTCCTCAAATCTGCGCTGGCACAGCGAGCACTTAGAGTCTCCAAACTCATCGAACTGGTCCTCGTAGTCGACCATGATCTGTCCATCAGCTGCAACAGAACAGCCCACGATCTTCCTTCCTATCTTTTTTCGTTTTTCTTCTTTCGCATTTTTCCATCTGCTCCTCTCGAAAAGAGGGATAGATCTCCGTAAAACCCGAAAATAATGCTTGATCCACGACAATGTTTAGGCCTTATTGACAACCAATCTTATGCCCCCCCCCCCCTGATGTACGGATTTTACGAGCCGTTTTCTAAAAACCGTTGCCGTTTTATCTTCGTGTCTTGCATTCTAAATACGATTGCGATAATTTTTTCTTTTTCCCGTGTATGACGAATAATAACGTACATGTCAACGGATGATATATCAAGGCTGCGTTCCTTCTGGACGCTAATGCGCTGTGAGTGTTATATGAATTTCTTTGCGTTCTCTTTAGACGCTCACTTTCATGCCGCTATACCTTGATAGAATAAGCGTTTATAAGCGCGAATTATGACGTCATTATGTGTTCTGTTTGCGCTCATAATGTCAAAGGAAATGGAAACGATATTTATAAGCTCTTGCAGCGCGTAAAAGGAACGCAGCCCAAGGCAATCCCAGACAGTGCTAAGTTAATTTGGAATAATGGATTACATACGAGTCAAGATCGATGTTGCGTACAGCGCAATCTGAGTAATATAATGATAGAAGAAGTAAATGTTATAGAAAATAGAACACTGGTGAAAGTTTCAAAAACTGAAGATACAAGAGACCAGAAATAATTTCGAATGCCAATATCTATATACATTCTCCGCCTCTTATCGGATCACGTATCGTCTACCGGTAAACTTTTACTACGATGTAATAGTACGTTCTCCGTTGTAAACAGATCAAGCATATCCGCTATCCGCCATGGTTAAGTCCTTTAAGGCGAAACGTATTAATTAATATAACTATCAAAGACGAGTGAATTTATTTCTGTTTTTTTTTTCTTTTTCGATCTTTTAGCGACATTCGCGTTTTTTTATATTCTCAGTAGAACGATTTGATATATATATATTTTTTTCATTCTTATTTACTGCGCTCGTTACCGAATTGTACGTTTATGACGATCAAAAGATATGAGTATATAATATGAGAAATATGATAATACTTAATAAAATGAGAATAGATTGCTTTGGCAGAAAGCAGCCTTTATTAATTTAGTGATATTGAGATGCCAATATGAAAAAGGTACATGAGAAATACGTAGCCAAGACAATCAATAGGTCTGACATGCCGTAAAGTTTCACGCCTCAAAGTTGAAAGTCTCGCCGCAACCGGATGACCAAGAAGCGATCTAAAGTTCATTAGCTTGCCAGCAAAGTCAATCGTTTCTCTACACACACGTAAATCCTAATTTCTATAGCAGAAGCCATTAGTTAAATGAATAATGTTTTTGTATTAGGGCGAAACATAATTCTATATTGGTCACACGGCAAAATAGCGCGACGAGCTCTGCAGTTTCTTCAGATTCCTTCGTTGTAGTTATCAATACCGCAGTGAATTGATCAGTTGCAAGCGCAAGAAGGCGAAGAAAGGTCGTTTTTAACAATGAAGAACGCCCAATGAAGAGTCATCGTAAGAAAGAAAGCCTCACCCCAAAAGCAAACCACGGCGGGTTCAGTTGAAAAGCGAGACAGGATCCAAGGTTGCCAATATGCATTTTCTAAGGCAATCTAGGGGATCTATTTTCATTTATATCATACACTCGACAAAATATAATACAAATACTATGACGTCAATCAACAAACGGGAGAAAACAATACGGATATTCCGTTTACTGCTACGTCGCATGCACAAGTGATTCTCTTGTGCGTCTATATACAACTATACACGTACTATGTGCTCGTATATCGTTTTGTGCGCAGTACTTAACTTTGTATCTCTGACAGATCTAACTTATAAAATATATAAAAAAGAATATATACGCCTAAGGAAGAAGAATAGGACCCCTTGAAAAGGCAAAAGAGAACAAGTGAGTGTATCACTTAGAAACTAATTTACACCGTTATTTACACGTTTCCTCATTATAATAAAATTAAACAAAATTATTACGACGCATTCAACAATCCGCACGCACACACATTCCATAGATAATATCATATCGTATGTAAATCTACCATATACATGATATCCCCCTTTAAGTGACCATCTTCTTTTATATTTTTCTTTCTTCTTTCTCTTATCTTCTAAACTGAAAGAGATAATGCATAATAAATATTTATCGAATTAAATAGTTTTAACTAAACTCTATTGTGAGCATGGTGGTTGTTTATACAAATTATTTAAGTTAAAATATAAAGAAGTATGCATAATTTTTTATGATAATATGGATATTTTGATATAATAAAAGTTGTAGCTCTGTTTATAACAAATACGAGGGCAGTCCGATAAGTACTTAGCCTACAAAAGAAAAACGAAAATTTTGGAAAAGTGGCGACTGTTTCAGCTATCTCGCGCACTTTCAATCGGCGGTCTGCCAATACGAGATCGTGGATTTTTGTCACGTATCCTCCGTGGTAGCCATATTCGGGGCACCTGGGCGTGGGTCATCAAAAACCGACGTGCGACCACGTTGAAACTCGTTAAACCAATTTTTGACGGTCGCCATCGAAGGAGAAGAGTCACCGTACACAGCATTCAAGCGCTCTTTGATTTCGCTGCGCGATTTCCCTTCCAAAAACAAGAATCAAATCATCGACCAATATTGCTCTTTTTCCATTTTTCTAAAATCCGCGGACATGCCCGCTTCCACACGCGGTCAAAACAAATCTACGAGTCCGATTCGGCTGAAATTTTGACAGTAGCCGGCTACGAGAATGTACTACACAATAGTAAATTTCTCTTGCGATAGTGGCGCTATCGGGCGGTGAGGCTAAGTACTTATCGGACCGCCCACGTATAATGATGTATGATTGAGATTGGAATTATTTTACGAGTTCTGCAAGTTTTGCAATTGTAAGTTTCATAGGCGGCTGCTATCTTTATCTTTATATTTTCGTCCATGCCATGTTTAACCAACTTCCAACTTCTTCTCATTAGCAGTTGTTATATTCTTCATCTGATTGTATTCAATAGCTGCGTTCAGAAAATATAAGTGATCAATGAGCAATCAATGATTATTGGTTTTTACTGTTAGATTTCTAAATTTACATCAATATACATATTGACAAATTATTCAACCGTTATACAACCATTGTGTTTTTTGAAGCAACTTACGTGCATAAAATCCACTTATAAAAAAGGCATGGCAATCGATATCTCGAACGTATTGAAATTATCGAATTTCTCGAATGTATCGAAATGTTGAAGCTTCTTTTCAGCAATGCTTACTGGTTGTGCCTAGAGTGCCTCTAATAAGAGTAGCAACATACGAATACCACTTTTGATTGGTCGGCCATTTTGTATCCATTCTCGCCAGTTTTTTTTTTAATTATTTTCTGAATATGTACTTTCATAAAGAAATGCTCAAATTAAAATAGAATATTAATATTAATTATAAATAAATTGAAAAGTAGGAATTATACATAAAATGGCTACGGCTGCGTTCTTTTTGGGCATTCACGTGCTGTCATTCTATCTTTGTTGTTTATTACATGTCAAGAGAAGATATAATAGAATGAGTTTACAGTGTGAACGCTCAGAAAAAACGCAACCTATATGATAGACAGAGATCGCACACATTTCTTTCTCTCTCGCGCAATTTCGATGAAAAATGACACAACTCTTCTATTCGCCACTCTGATTAGAGAGATTCTAGTCGTGCCGAGTCTTGTACAAATCGCTGACGAGTGCAGATGTGTTGGTTCGGTGATCTGTACACATGTTCACGAGTCCTTCCGGGTCTTCACGAGTTCGTTTTGAACCCACTTATTTTTAATAAAATTATTTTGACAAAGTTGCTGCCTTGGCAGAACGTAAATTTGGAACTCCATCTTATATAATGCGTAATTCCTTTATTCGTTAACTGATATTGGGTATCTTTTTTATCGAGGCTTCTGGGTAAATATTCGTGTACATGAAAAATAAGTTGTTTATTAATTTTTATTATAAATTATATTTTTATTAATTTTCATTAATTGGATATAACTTTGCCATAATTGTAAAGAAATGATCGATTCTTTTGGAGTAATCATAGAGACGTTTAAAAAGAAATTATGCTAAATAGTGAGAATGTTTTTTTATTATTCCATAACGAGGTATTGCTCTTCGCATATCTCGCCATAATCATATCTCGCCTCTCAAAATTAGTCTGAAGTTGTTCATAATATTTCTTCTTGTAGCGAAACATTAAGCTAATCTTTTCAAACCAAAAATGCAATACATTTGCACATTTCGGACACTTTATTTCACGTGAACTACACTACGTATTCGCTATTTATTCACGACGAACAAAAATGTTTCAATTACAGTTATGTACAAATTTCATGGAAAATTAAAGGATACGAATAACTTTTCTTTTCTTTAAACTTTCACAAACAGTGTAGATGATCTACATTGAATTGTCGCGAAATTGTCACGAATTGCTGCGAATATACATCACGATTGATGAATAGCGAATACATCTTGCCCCAGCAAGAAAAATAAAATCGATGAAGTTGTATCGAATCTATTGAAAGTGCTTCCTTTTTTCCAAACGTCAAGAAGACAATAGAAGCATAGGCAGCTCCAATTGTTGCCCTGTTATAGGCAGATTTTAAATGCTATATTATAAGATGTATGAATGTAAGTTAATCAGCTGTTAATCGAACTTGATCTCGCTTTTTAGAAACTGAGAGTTTTGTTAGACTGAAATGGCAGGGATGTCGATAAGTTACTAGCAGGAGATTAGACAGACAGATTGTCGAATCAGTTTTCAATAATCCTGTTACTACTGCGAATTAAATGATAAAGTTGTCGCACGCAGATAAAGAAATCGCGTGATCAGGCCATACGCCGACGACTGCATGGTTTAAGCTCCAGAAATAACGTATGTGTTCAACTAACATTAAATTACCGTCGTACTCGTCTAGAATATGTACAAACTTACGTACAATAGGCTGCACAACAATGGACAAACATTTTATTCACTGATGAATCGCGTTTCATTTTACACGAAAATAATCGTCGTATTAGAGTTTAGCAACGACGTGGAGAAAGGTATAAACAACGTCATGTGGCAAGCATAAAAGCTTATATAGGTGATTCTATAACGGTTTGGGTATGAATTTCTGTTTTCTGTCGCACGGAACTTGTAATGGTACCATCATCATTGTCATGGTACCATCATCATCATATATATTGTCTTTGCGAAATGATATGGCAGAAAACTTTATTTCGATACAAAATAATGCTCGTGCATATATTGATCGGTACACAACAGATTTCTTACAAAGAAACGATATTAATGTGTTGCATTATCTGTCATTAAGTCCAAATCTAAACCCAATCACATTGAATTGAAATTTTCTGAACATGGTTGTTATAACAAAGGTAACATAACAAGGTTATTATAACAAAGATCTCAAGAGAAGTAAATTTTTTACTGCGTTTTATTACTGTCGACGAAACTTGGGTCCACCACTACCCTCTGGGAAGAAATTTTCGTCGGATGTTGAAGTGATAAGTGATAAGTACCGTTAATGATTATTTCTCGAGTTTGGACAAAAGTTATTATGCTGAGGGAATGAAAGATTTAGAAGAACGTTGGACCAAGTGTATTCAGTTGAAAGGAGACTATGTTGAAAAATAAATTTCATTAGCTCAAAAAAAATATTTTTTTCTTAATCAGGTCGGAAACTTTTCAATATACCCTTGTACGTGAGCAATTAAAAAAGTATCGCCTGATAATGAAAAAGTGACTGTTTCTTTTTGGAATCATTTTATTTGGATCTAATCAGGATCTGTTTTTGTTCCTGCACTGCCTGCATTATTTTGCACCGGTACTCTTTTCCTCTCTTTCCCATTAAATCTCAAGAAAGAGATGAATAGAGAACTAGTATAAGTTAATTCAGCCAGTGCAGAAAAAGAAACAGGCTCAAAGTGCAAATAATAATCTAATTATTTATACAAGGAAGTATGACACATTTTACATTGAAAATATCATGGACGTAAGAATATCCGAACGGAGCACATAGTGATGAAGCATAAAGGATAAGGTACAATGAAATATTTGTTATAACGAATATGAGGGACCAAGATGGGGATGGTCGATAATTTCAAGGAATGTAATCTAATTGTTCTCATTGCAATTGTGTTTTATTCTTCTAACTATTATTATTTCTGCTTTTACAGCCTTTAGCGCAATTTAAAGCCAATTCCTTTATAATCCTTTTGATCAATAGTATTAAGGATGTTAATGCATCAAATAAATTTAAGGACACTATTTTAGAAAATACTCAACTGTAAATGGATCATTTCTGCAGTATATCTTATATTTAAAACTGGTAAAAATACTAAGACTTCTAGTAATATAAATTTAGTAACATCGAAACAAAAAAACTATTGACATAAGGAATAATCGATTTCAAAAACATCGAAAAAATCGATTTTTTAAAGAAAAAGAATCAAACATCGTTTCATCGGTCGATGATTGTCCATTCATAGACGGGCCTAGACATTTTGATAGTTTTTATATTAGGAGTTGCACGTTAGACAATGTATTGCAATTCGCAATTTCTCTGTCAAAATATAATACAAGGCGATTAATTGTGTGTGTATTAAACGGGAAAAGAATTTTATTAGTGCAATTAAATTTCCTTTGTTGTTTGGACAGATTAAGGGGAAATATTCTGTTATAGAGATTTACGTTATTTACTCAATCAACTGTTCACAGTTATTTTAACCAAATTTTAATATAGTTGAATATTCAAATGAATCTTTTTGATTGAGGAGATGTAATTTTTTGTACATATATTATCTTACTTCAGTTATACAAATTAAGATTTCCGTGTAATGGTAATTAACTAAATAGCGCGTGTGTAACGCGTGCTTGTATTGTTCTAGTATATCAAGAAAATTCAATCGGTAATATATATGAGTTGGTAGTTGGTCACACGGCAGGGCAAAAAGATAAAAGTAGTAACCATTCGTAAACTTTTACAATCTTGATAAAACTTGTAGAACTCATAAAATAATTCCGTTATATCGTACATCGGTGTATTTGTTATAAATAGCTCTACAACTTTCATTACATCGAAATATTCATATTATCGTAAAAAAATTAGATATATATTTTGTTCTCTAATTAAAATAATTTTTATGGACAACCACCATGCTCACAATGGAGTTTATTTCAAGCCATTTAATATAATATTTATTTATTATCTATTTTTTAGTTTAGAAAATAAAAGATGGCCATTTGTAGCGGGTCCTTGTATAATATATAGATTGGAGGTTGTGTATAAATATTTGCGCTATTTCGAAATAAGAGGAAGTATACATAGTTATTAATGATATCGATCGCGTAAATATAAAATGATGCGTGAAAAAACGCCATATTATAACCCCAATAAAATGCTTTTCCTGCTGAAGAAAAAATAATCAAATAAAAGCGCTAACTACGCTTTAATCTTGCTCAAAGTATTAAGAAATTAAGCGTGTCACGTGTTTCACATAACAGAATAGAGTACAGCATACGTTGCTACGTAATATCCATGCGTGCAAACTTACCTTGTAGACATATCTCATTAAAATCAAGTGCTCCATAAAAATCGTCAACGATATTAATCGTTCCCGAGTAAGTGAGATTAAAGTAGATAACAAAAACAATAATAACGATGAAATTAAGATTAAATTTAAGATTGGTAGGTCAAAATATACCTATCAAAATTGTTGTTTCAACGATTAACTAAAATAAAAATCAAAAAGTAAAATTCATGCTACGTAGATGATATCGCAAAACAAATTCGCCACTTCTGTAATTACATTTATGGATAGACGACAAATAGAATTAAGGGCGCTTTTTTGGCAATGCCCATCGGATTTAATGATCCGAATGTAAAGCCTCACTAATAAAAACGACGGTGTATCATATTATTCCATAAAATTATCCAGTATCATACTATTCCATAAAATGGAGCAAAAATTCAAAGGATGCAACAACTCAGGTACTTCAGTCTAATTACTGTCTTATTAATGATTTGTTTAAAATAAAGTCATATATTTATTTATTTCTAGAAGAAAGACAAACGTTTTGATAGAATTATATTTTTATATGAAAACTTATTTGTGATATACAATAAATGTACCAATCTCTGAATGCTTAAAATCACTATCCTATAAGCGCGTAATATTCCTTTAATATTATATCATACTTATTAGAATATTATACAAATATTATTAAATATTAAAATAATATTTTTATAATATTCTAAGAATGTTATGTAATATTTGTTAATATTATATAATAGTATATATGCTGTTTTTTATGAACGTCCTATTGATGCTATATGTCCACTTCATATAATATTCTTGGCATATTGGAAAAATGTTCTTAGAATATTAAAAAATAATAATAATGAAATAGAAAAATACATACACATAATATATAGAATGGAATATTTAAAAAATATAATATTACAATAATATTAAATAATAATACTAGAATATTATTAGGATGTTATGTCTAATATTCTAAAAATAATTCCTGTTACGACAATCTCCCCAGCAACCTGACGCGTCTCATAAAACTACACCTGGAGCAAAATGAGATCTCGGAGTTCCGCGATGCCAACGTGTTCTGCGACCTGCCGAATCTCATGGACCTCTATCTCGGCGACAACGCCCTGAGCGCGCTGCACTTCAATCTGTCGTGCCTGCACCACCTGCGCTTCCTGGATCTGCGGCGGAACAGGTTCGCCAAGGTGCTCGAACGCGATCTACATACCATGGACAATCTCGCTAGGCACGACCGCGAGATGTCCGTCGACTTCTCCGGCAATTCCTTCGAGTGCTCCTGCAAGCTCAATCCGTTCATCAAGTGGCTGAACAAGANCGGTTTAATTGTTTCATGAATAATTAATTGTTCATTGTATTACGAACATCAATATAATTGGAAAATTCTTGCTTCTTTACTTTGATAAATAAAATAATTATTTTATAAAAAATATAAAATCATGAAAATTAATAAGGATATTGTAACTAAAAAGTACAACTTTAAAATAAAAAAAAACTTTTTTCTGTATTGGAATTTCGATTTTATTTTTATTTAATGATTGAAACGATAAAAGTTTGCAGGATTAGGAATGTATTAAAATAAATGCTTTTACTTAATAGACAGGGAAGAGCAAAACGACACGGAGGAATTAAAATTTGATAATTCAAAATGAATAATACGAAGAGATGAAAACGCATATTGCAGAGTGCATCTAATAGCATTTCAGTAAGATGCATATGTCATCACTTGACGAAACGAGTTTTCTTTGTAAGAGGATTTTTAAGAGGAGTTTTACGAAAACATGCGATCAATTGTTTCACTTACCTCGCCAGCTCACTTTGATCGGACATGTGATTGTTTGGTTCTTAATGAGATACGCGTTCAGTGACGTTAGGCTTGGGCTTTTTCGCAACGTACCCTCATCGTTCTTCCACACATATGTAATCGCTGTCTGTTCGTACGATACTGAAAAATAGAAAAATGGTTTCGCGTAAACCATATTTGTCAAAGCTTAGGCTAATATAATTATCTTTTTATTTTGTTTTTCGTAAAACGCTTATAAAAAAAGCTATATGACTTCAAAGCTGGAAGTTCGATACTCACTGCTCTCAATCGCGAATGAACACAATGGGTCGTCAAAGGGGAAGATATTAAGTCTACCCTGGCAGGATAGGATAAGGTGACGCCTGTAAAATGGTATAGTAACCTATGTATATAGGATGTCCGAAATTTTCCCACCAAACGCTCACATGAATGTAGAACAAGTTAAACTGAACAGAACAGTTATGTACTATTATACAAAATTCGCAATAGTTAACCCTAGAATACCACATTTGGGTGTACCGCACTCCTGCTGAATTATTAAATGCACTATATGGAAACGGCGGGAATTGCTGAAATGGCCGCCGTTTTCATATAATGAAAAGTAAGTGAAGAATCGGAATTGGAGGGGAAAAAACTTCTGTTTTCCCTTCATAGTTCCCCATGCTGCATAGTTTTGCGTGTGTTACATCCATATGTGATACAAGTGCTTTTACGTCATATCATTGTTACTTATTTTTTTTAAGTTACATCCTTTATCTTCAAAAAGTCACCATTCCTTTTATACAATACAGCTTTACGAAAAATTGTTATTTCTTGAAGCATATAGCGTTTTTGTGATTACGAAATTTATATTCAGGCTTTTTCTAAAATTAAATTTTTTTAAACCTTAATCATAAATACAATAACACAGACACGTTTCTGACATTTTAGTGTTTAAATTAAGTATAATAAATATCCACTTTTCGAAGAGTTATTAATAGTTGAAAGTAGCTGGGTACTTTATACCCAGTATGATGAAATCGGGACTCGCAGGAAATATTCTAGGGTTAATGAGAAATTAATTAATCTATATTATCAATAAGCATACGGGAAATGTTAAGCCGGACTTTGTATGCATATACAAAAAAAATGGCTTCAACCGACGTGTGGTCCTATGTCACAATCGCTGCTCGCCGCGTTGCTCTGCTCATCGGAGTTATCATAGGAGTTTACGTTTAATCGAATACAAGTTAATTCTATTAGGGCCGAAAAATACAAAGGGCAACATCGAGTTGTCATGAACCTTGAAGTTACTGAATGGTTGTGCTATTACATTTTTCGATTCTAGTCGAATTAACTCGTATTCGATATAATGTAAATTCCCCATTTCGTAGGACACGGAATATTACTACTACATATATAGTGAGTGCAGTATTGCGAGGCGCGTATTGCAGGATCGTATGCTGGTCAAAACTATTTTTCCTTTATATGATTGCGGAGTCCGATTTACCGGTTTCCGTGCGTACTTTGGCTCATACAGATTAATTAAATCTTCATTAACTATTGCGAATTTTGCACAATGGTACATCTTTTTTGTTCAATTTAATCCGTTCTACCTTCATACGAGCACTTAGCGGAAAAGTTTCGGCCACCTTATATAAATACAAGGCAAACGAAACATATTAACTATCTGACATATTGAATATATATATACAGGATGGCCATTAGGATTGTATCTAAAGTAAATGGTTATTACTTCGCAATAAGAAAGTCGAATAAAATTAATGAAACGTCATTTTGTAGAAAAAACTTGTCAAATTTTATTTCTATAAGTATAAAATAAATATATTTTATTAATTTAATTACGTTATTAAAAAAGGGGCAAAAATGTACTTGCGCCCTTAAACTAATGGAATATCTTTTCAAAATGTTGTCCATCGGAATCGGCACAGAATTATAACTGTTTTCGAAAACCTTCAAATATATTGTCTAACATAGTTGTAGAAATGCTGCGAGTACATTTTAGTTAAAAACTATCTATTAACTTTTCGGTATTTTGAGGTTTAGCATAACTGTCTTGGAAGTATCTCCAGAGAAAAAAATCGCAAGGGTTCAAGTCTGGTGAATAAAGAGACTGTTTCATGAACTATGAGACCTCTATAAATAAATTTCAGGTATCCTAACCCAATCATCCTGCTATCATACACTTTTTATGTATCGATTTAAACACATCGTGAATACGATGTGTGGTCACGCCATCTTGCATAAAATGAAATTTCTTTACTAATCCTCTTTTCTATGGATGCAGTTCGGTGACGTTTCTCATAATCTTTCGGAGAGTTTTTTGCTTCAAATCTATGGCGTATAGCTTTACGAATCGAGGAATTTAGATTTTCTTCGAAATATGCTCTGATGTCATCAATTTTTTCGTCTGATATAATGGTATGAGATGGATCAGGTAAATCTTGTTTACAATCGTTTAAAGTGCCATTTATACTAAAATGATTAATAATCCTACGAAAGAATATCGAAAAATGAATAGAATCTTAGATCACCAGTATAATGTGTAAGTTAGATTATGTTGGCACGATTCTAGAGAAGAAGTATACCTTCTGAATATAATTTTGCTTGAAACTTTTTTAGATCTATATTTTGTACGCAATGCACAATATGTCTCAATATAATTTTCGCTTCTATTGAAAAAGCATTCGATAAGAAAAACTCTTTCTTTGATGTTTAGAGCATTCATTTTGACACTGGTAAATCGGCTTGTACAACGGTTCAAATAAAATTGACAGGTCTCAAGGACCGGAACCTAATTAGTTAAATAACCACCGAAATCGAAGAAGGGAAATATAACTGTTTACTTTAGACACAATCCAAATAGTTACCCTTATACACATATATAGGGTGTTTCAAAAGTGGAAGTCAATCACTTAGGAGATGATTGGAAACCCAATCAAAGAAAAATCAAAAACAAAGAAAAGAGTTAATATGAACATAGGTCCGAAAATGCGTTATTTTCTGTTATCGCCATTTTTATATTGAAATTCCTAATTATTATGCTTCCGAATATTTTTGTTAAAATTGAAAAGATAGATGGTTTTCATGAATTTTATAACATAATTAAGGTCTAATAAAAACTGTAGATTGCTTTAGCAATACTCAGCATGCACCACGTGGAGATACAGCTCATTTTAATATCCCTTGGTGAGCATCCTTAAGCGGGCTGCACCTCCACGTGCACCCTGGGTAGTGTTAAAGCAGCCCACAACTTTTATTGGACTTCAATTATGTTATAAAACTCATAAAAGCTTTCAATTTTGACAAAAAATTCGAAAACGAAGCAATTTGGAACCAACATAAAAAGGGTGATAACTTGAAAACAACGCATTTCTGGACTTATGTTCATATTAACTTTTTTCTGTTTTTAGGTCCCCAATCACCTCCCGAATGATTGACTTTCATTTTTTATATACACTGTGTATATGAATGTAAATACAGAAATATATAATTATATAAATTTATAAATATATAAATATATAAATATAAATATATATCTATGTATATACACACATATATATACAAGGATGGTTTGAAAAGTAACTTGGTTCGGATACTCTTAGAGGTCATGAGCAATAACTATATATATGGTCGTGTAGTTCCTTTTTTTGTAATAACCCGCGATATTTCATATCATTCCGCCTTTAATTCTTTATTTGATAGTTATTTCAATATAAGCGTTTCAAACAATAGTGCAAAATGGATAAAATTGGAATTCGAGGTGTGATTCAATTCTTTTTTTGGAAGAAAAAACAGCGAAGGAAATCTATGAAAGGATTTTTCCTACATTAGATGACTTATGTCCTCCATATGAAACCGTTCAACTTTAGATAAATGAATTCAAACTTGGCAGAATAAGTATCGAAGATGCACCATATTCTGAAAGTTCGAAAACAGCTATTACGCCAAAAAATATCAATGAAGTCCATGATATGGTTTGTCCGACGGGCGAGTAAAAATGCGCGAGATAGCAGAGGCCGTGAGCATTTTAACTGAGCGAATTCATTTCATTTTGCATAATGAATTAAATATTTAAAAGAACTTTCCACAAGATGGATTTGCTTACTGCAGGACAAAAACGAGTTCATATGCCAACATCAGCCGATTATTTGGAAGTGTTTAAGAAGAATCTAACAGATTTCATGCGGCGTTTTGTGATAAAATTTGGATTCACCATTATACACCTAAATCAAACAGCAATCCAAACAGTGGATTAAACGAGGTGAAACGATTTCGAAAAAGATGAAGATCGTCGATTGGGAAGATGATGGCAGTTTTTCGTGATGTGAAAAGAATTCTCCTGATCGACTACATTGAGAAGAGGAAAACCGTTACTTACGGGCAATATTACGAAACACTTTTGAAGAAGTTAAAAGAAGCGATAGCGGGGAAACGTCCCAAAATGGTCAAGAAAAAAATGTTGATTCATCATGACATTGCACCGGCGCATTCAAGCGTTGCCGTCCAACAAAAATTGGCCGAGTTGAAGTTTGACATTCTCCCGCATCCACCATATTCGTTTGATTTAGTTTCTTTTGAACTTCCATTCGTTTCCGAAACTTAAAATTTTCCTGACTAAAAAGAGATTTGAGTCGAATGAAGAAACGATAAAAATCGTAAATGACTATTTTAAGAATTTCGAAGAAACCCACCTCCGGAAGGGAATTGAAAACTTAAAGAAATGTTAAAGGGGGTGCGTTGAGTTTCGAAGGGATTATGTTGGAAAATAAAGTATACTCTATGTAGCAAATATACTCTATGAAACTAGAACTATTGTCTTCGATATCATACCAAGTTACTCTTCAAGCCACCCTCATATATAAAGGCTGGTGAAAGTATTTCTTAAAGTTTCTCACGATAATACTTTCTTATTTTTGTATGTTCATCTAGTTTGCGTATAAAATATATCAATATACAAGTACCGCATAAGGTAGTTGACGGTGCCGTTACGGTATATCCGTAAAGCAAAGTGAACGGGGATGATAGGATCCTTGAAATCTCCATGCATTATGAAATATGTATCCGGTAACCAAATATCTTCGTAATGATGAATCGCATTTAAAAATTCATATCTGGTTTTGTTGTTATAACGCAATCGTGGATCGTACCATTGTTGCTGCAGTAGAAATTCCACTTCGTATTTCTGTGAAAGCAAAAGGACGATCAAGATATGAACTGGCTTTTACTTAATTTCAAAATTATATACAACCCAGATAGCACGATGAATCTTTTAAGTGTTCCTAAAGCTTTCTCTTTTCCTGAATTATATTTATTTAGGAATTCATAAAAGAATATTATAAGAATGATCCAGGAAATTACATGATTGGAATTCCATGATTGGAATTCCTGAGAATTTTTTGAAGTATTTATATAAAATTATTTCATATCAACGGATGTATATTTTATGAATTTAAGAGGAATAGTGTTTATGAACGGAAAGAGAAATACAAAATATCCAATAAACCAACTCTAAAGATAACGTTACATCAATATTATAATTTACCGTTCAACAATATAACTATTTATATTACGTACAACATATGTTATATATAGGATGGCATAAAAGCCTAAAATAATTCGTATTATTTTTGGAGAAAATCTTTGAGACAAAACTTGCATTATTAAAAATTATACTGAACGGTAATATCTCTCTTCTTAAAATGACCTTAGAATAACCAGTAAAGATAACCTTAAAAGACAAATGAGTACTCTCACTTTTTATTACAGATTTTGATAACGCATGTCATGATCTTTTCAAAACACTATGATAATGTCTCATTCAGATCTTTAGTTTAGAAACTAAAAAGATTAAACGTTGCTGCATCAGCGTTATCCGATGGATATTGCGGGAAGATTTTTTAGATCATACAATAGGCCAAATTGTACGATCGGCTCTTTTCAGGACCACATAATAGGTAACGTCGGACCAAACAACCTCCGATGTCTATTAGGTAACGTTGGCGGCAAGTCACCATTTAAGCCTTCTAGGTTTTTAACTTAAAATCCAAATTATATATTATCATAGTCTTTTGAAAAGGTGTTGGTGTCAGTTATCAAAATCTATAATAAAAGTGGGGATTTCTACTTAAGTTTTTTAAAATCTTGACAGATCATTCCAAGATTATTTCAAGGGCAAGAGATACTGCCATCAAGTATAATTTTTTTTTAATAATATAAAATTTGCCTCAAATATTTCTCTATAAAACCAATTATATCGGAGATAATTGGCTGTTTCCGGATTTTGAAACCACCTTGTATAATAATTACGTTGAGTGGGAAATTATAATATTGATATAATGTTACTGTGTTAGTTGATGTTTACTGGAAAACAGTTCTCTTCCAACTGAAGTAATTAAAATACATTTAGCTTTCAACTACATAAAAGAAGACAGGAATCTACAATTGCACAAAAATCATATAGAATAAGGAAAGAATTATATACAATCAAATTTATAGATTATAAAGTAATAACACAGTTTAACTACATACAGTTGCGACAGTGCTAGGAAACTGAGGGTTCGATTTTCTTCTGTACATGCGTTAACTATACAATCAAGAATATAGCGGAGTATTATAGCAATACCAGCGTGTGAGACAGCACAGCTGAATGTGTAACACATTTAAAAATATTTATACTATAATCGTAATATAAAATGAATGCAAAAGGTAGTATCTCGTGTACATTTGCTACATGCAAAAATATTTGTGGACAAATGAAATAAGTTTCTTTCAATTTCCAAAGGATTGTGAAAAGAATTTACATTAATACATATAGTTCTATGTTCTATATAATTATATATATAAGAGAATTATAATCCCATAGAAGAATAATAATGACAATATCTATCTATATATCTAAGTAACAATTTTTTAAAAAGTCCAGTTCAATCATATTTTCACGATTCAATGAAACGTCAATAGTGTCACTATTATTTTTATTTTATATCGAGATATCATTTATTTCTGAAAAATTTCCAGTTATGATAACGCACACACAAAGCACTGAAAATAACACAAGCATCTTTTAAACGCAGTCACAGGAAGTAATTGTAACTAACAAAATACTCATAATTCCTTACAAATTCTCAGAGTATTCAAAGTACTGATAAATAAATATACCAAAAGTGTATTCCTTTTTCCAAATTTGACATAAATATAGAACTATGAAAAATATTTCATGTCATTATGTTTTTCCATTTTTGCCCATAAATGATTTTAGACAGTTAATGCCTTTTCAATTTTCTCCCTTCTATCATTAATAAGTACACTAATAATACATAAAAACAAAATTTAATGCAAGATATAGGAGTATTTTGAATCATTGATTATGAATATAAAGACAAATTTGCAAAATTATTTGTTTAAATAATAAAATATTTTAACAAATTAGCTAAAAATAAAAAAAAAACATAATATTGTAACATATGTTATAAGAGATAATTCGGATAAGTTATATGATATCATATAATAAATATAGTATCACATTTATAAAATAATTAATTTTAATTATTTGAATAATGAACAGTTCAAACAAATCAGCAACAAGGTTGACAAAAGTTCGAATGCTTTGCAGCGATTTAAGTTATAGAGGATTTTTGGGTTACTATAACACATATTATTGACGCAAATATTCTCCTTCAAT